CTAATTTTAATCAAATTTCTAGATTAATTTAAAAATGAAATTCTATTTAAATTTCAAAATCATGATATTACACAAAAAAAGGTTATAATTTGCAAATTACAAATCATTTTTGATATTATCTTATTTAAATAAATTTACTTAATAAAATATATTATTAGATTTAAATATAATTCGTTATTTTATATTATAATAATAAAAGCATTTAAAAAAATAGAATTTCAAAATTTGACATTTATTTAAAAATTTTTAAATATAAACTTACAAAATTACCAGCTGCTGCAGCAAGTAATTCACGTTTTTCCAATCCTGTAGCAAGTTCCAATGGATCAGGAAAAGCTGTAATAGAAATTTATTTAAAAAAACTCTATTTTATATATAAATCAAAAATTATATAAAATCAATAAATTATATTATCATATTACGTAATAAAAAAATGCAAAAAATTTAAATAATTTTTTTATAATTATTTTATTATTTAAATAACATATTCATTTACTTTTTCTTTTTGAGAATTTAACAGCATTGCAAGAAAATGTTCGTCGATATTTGTGGAAAACAATACGACTACATAACCATGCCATTTTTCAAATTACAGTTAACAATTAGTTGAAAGAAAATGTTCTCTCACGAACACAGAACAATTCGCACAGAAGCAACTGCAGAGTGTCAACTTTGATAAAACTTTTCGATCGATTAGTAGATTAACAGCGCCATATCACTAAATTTAGTGATTTCAATATATTTTTAAAATTATTTTTTTTATTTATATAATTTAATAACATACTCAAAATTATATTATATGCAAATATTATATTACTATAAAATTATATTATACAAATATTATTATATTTTAAAATAAAAATATTATTATATAATTTAAAAATAAATATTATTTTGTATTGTATCAAATTGTAAAAAAATATACATAGAACTATATGTACAACTATTTTAACTATTTTTCATATATAATTATATACTTATTAAAAAAAATTTTAAATATTATATTAAACAATAAGCAATAATGAATAATAATTAAAATTATGCTTAAAATTATCATAATTTTTATAATGAATTGCTATATAATAATATTAAAAATTATTACAAATTAGTTTGTGAAATAATTTTTAATTTATTTTATATTACTCTATTTTCTATTTCTATTTTATATCATATATAAATTCTCTTTAAAAATATGCAATATTAATTAAATATTAAAAAATTAAACAGAAATTCAATAATTTTTTGTAAATAAAATTTTATATTTATAAATATAATTTTAACAAAATTGGAAAATTTAATTTTTTAATTTATATTAATTAAATTATACTAATAAATATTAATAAGCATGTATATTATATGTATAAATAAATATTTTATTTAATATTTATTAAAGTTTCATATCTATATAGTTTTACTTCGTTGTTTGAAGCAATATTTCACAAAAGGTAAATCCATATTTCTAACATCTGATTGGTTACTGCTATTAAATGGTTATTACGGAAAAGACGATACATTATTTGATGACGTAATTTTTATTTTAAATATTTAACTAAGCATAATATATATACATTGTCAATGTGGAATCATATTTGTAATATTGTGTATATTTTCTGTATAAAATTTTATCTTAAAAAGTGTGATTGATATTAATAATAATAATTTTAATTTATAAAAATATTAGATATTTTTAAATAATATTTAATATATAATAATTATATATTGTTATTTTTTAAATAATAATAATAATATTTAATAAAAATCGTGTGCTTTAATAAATTCTTCTTTATTATTAAAGAATGCCAGGGTAAGCACAATAATTTCTCTTGTGAAACATAGTGTTATAGGATATCTACCGTCTGCAATATTAGTTTCCAGGTATATAATTTTAAGTCCGTTATTATATATATAATGAGATAAAATATTTGAAACAATGATTTAAATAAAATATAAACATTAATATAAAAATTAATATAAATATACGATATTTATAAAATTATATATTTACATGTTATAAAAAAAGGAATATTTTATATGATGATAAAAATGAAATTATTGTCATTCAATTTTAAAAATGTAATGTAATATTTATTACATTATATATTAAAAATTTTATAATAAGAATATTTAAAAAATTTTTAATTGTATATTTTATGATTTTATATTAATTAAATTTTATTTGTTAATTTTTAATAAATTA